GCATTGCGCGGTGTGGCCGCAGCTGCATGAGCCCTGTGCTGGTGCTGAGGCTGGGTCAGCTCCAAAGTGCAGGGGTGTGAATGCTGAGCGGCTCACTCTGCCTCATCTGTTATGTTTCACATACTGGAACATAATTGCTAATCACTAAAATTAAACTGTATAACCAGGGAATCATAATTTCTTGAGCGTGGTGAAACTGTTAAAGAAGAGGGTACTCTGTGTGAGCATTCTGGCTGAACTGATTCTTTTTCCTGGATTTCCTCTGAAAACAGTTTTCGTATAGCTAGAGTATGGAGAGAAAAACATGTAATTTTTAATGTGACTTGATCCAACCGCTACCCTAAATTACCACCCTTAGCTGTTTCACATGTCTGCTCAGGAGACATTGAATGGTGGTGGAGACTTGTATTCTTCAGTAAGCAAGTTGTAGCTGGCTATGGAGATGATGTGAGTAGAGAAGCTGAAGAGAGTCTGGAAGTTTCTCTGGTTGTTCAACCACTTATCTGTTCCCATTTCTAAGAGGCCTGTACAGAAGTTTTCTGTAGCACCTACAGGATGTTCCCTTTCAAAATCATCAGTCAGGACATGAGTGCTAGCTACAAAAGCAGAGAGGTGTTTTCAGTTTGTTTTAAAAAGTACTTCCCCCCGCCCCCTTCTCTCCTAGGCCAAAGCAGTGGCTGCAGAATCAAATGCTACTTTCTTTAATATAAGTGCGGCAAGCCTTACTTCAAAATACGTAAGTAGCAGCTGTACATTGTATTGATCTGAAAACACACATGCTGTAATTGGGGCTTAAGAAGGCCAGAGACTTCTGAGGAGTCCTTGGTGAACTGCTAGCCTCTAGTGGACATCAAGTTTTAAAGAAGTGACTTGTGAAGTAAAATACTTTGTGCTGTGCTTGTGATAACTCAATGTCAAAGGCTTTTGCAGTTCAGAATGACCCTGGCTGTCATATAGATGAGTGGTTGTGGGGTTTCTTTCTTCTTTAAAAAGTAAATGAAGTGGGTCCCATCTCCCTTTTGCTCTGATAATTTAGGCACCAAATCTCTTGACAACTCAATTGTGATCATCAATGAAGTTGCAATATTTCTTCCAAGTCATAAGTAGTGCTGTCATATGTAATACTGAACTTGTTATAACCTGAGTGTGTATGGATGGACTGAGTGTGGTTGGCTATCAGCAAGATTTTGTGTAGGTCCTTATGTTAGCTGTTTTGTAATAAACGTTTTCTAAACCCCCTCCAAAACCAGTTCATTGTTGTTTTAGGTGGGCGAAGGGGAGAAACTGGTGCGTGCTCTTTTTGCAGTAGCCAGAGAGCTTCAGCCTTCTATAATTTTTATTGGTAAGACCTTAAATGTTGTTGACTTATGTATATTTTCTTAAATATTTTGACTTGCCAAGTTGGAATCATTGGGTAAACTTCTTTGGGTGATTCTGCAGTGTAGTACACATGTGTTGGATATGACCTGCTGGCTGATGGGTAGTTCCATACAGAGCACGCTAGATTACTGTTGTGTTACTTAATTGGCGTTAATAGTGGGAAGCAGTGCCCTCAGAAACACAAATGCTGTACTATGTTTGTAAAGTAAGTCAGTCCATTTATGTATTAAACTTCAAATATGGAAATGGATTTTGCTTGTCCTGAGTTGCAGTTTATTATCAGCAAGATTTTTTTCTCTCATCTGTGGTTGGTGTTACATATTCAAAGGATGACACATTATACAAGCTTTTAAACTTTTAAGATCTGTCTGTCTCCTAAGGAATAAAGATCTGATATCTCTTGTTGGAGCCCTATATTAGCAAAAGAATTTAGGCAAATACGAAGACTTTAATGTTGTATGCTTAATTAAGATGTATTTATTTGGGTTTTTTTCAGATGAAGTTGATAGCCTTTTATGTGAAAGACGAGAAGGCGAACATGATGCTAGTAGGCGTCTAAAAACAGAATTTTTAATAGAGTTCGATGGTGTAAGTATTTAGTCTTGAGTGTTGTTTGATTTAGCTGAATTGGCTGATGTAGTGGGTGTCAGTACAAGCTACAGATGAAGCACAAATGGGATTTGGCTGCCGGGGCTTAGCTGTGTCCTGTCCCTGTCCATTCTGTTCCCCCCTGCCCCTCCCACCTTGTTCGGCAAACTGCTTTTTTCTATTGCTGTTAATTTTTCACCTGCTTACTGTAGTGTACTGTAAAATTCAGTTGGGGGTGAAAGGTAGTAATCTGGAGATGAGCTGAAATAATGGGTTGAAAGACACTGAACAGAGAAGAAAGGATAACAAATGGTAACAATAAAGGACTTGTGAGAACAAATGTTCTTACACGGCAAGAGGGACACCTGAGGGCTAGGCAGAGTTGAATCCTTGTTTGCAGTTTCGTAGTTGGGTGGGGGGGACGTGAATGAATATCAGAATACTTTTCTGTCACACAGCACTGGTATTTGTATTGAACAATCTTAGTTTATATTCCACTAGCACAGTGGAATATGGCTCCAGTGGTGAAGCAACAGAAATGAGGTACAGAAGGAGGAGATAACTATATAGAGAGACAAGAAGATCAGGAGAAACATCCCCGAAGTGGGATGAATCAGGACAAATAATGCAATGTGACAATGATATGCAGCAGTTACTACACACACGCCCACCCAGTTTTCCCTTAAAATGGAAAGGGGAAAATTAAGCATAATTAGCAAGTTAGCAAACTTTGGATCAAGGTGCAACTATAACATACAACATTTTTGTGGAACTTCTTGGAATCAGTAAGGCAGCAATGAACTTAAGTCCATGAAGGATTTGGCACCAGGTGAATAATAACACGTGTCTGGTACCCAAATGTTTGCTCTGAAGTCTGGAAGCTGTAAGTCTCCATATTCTTGGATATAAAATCAAGTTTTGCAATTGAGTGAATTGAGGGGTGGAAATTACTGTGTCTGTGCACTATTCAGTAGCTTCTCATTTTGATTGCTAGCTTCTTGCGAGACCCATATTAGATGAATCTCCGCTCTGATTTAGTGGTTCTGGCTGTACCTTAGTCTAAAGTTTTGATTTTCTCTTTTCTCTGTAGCCTTCAAAACAATGTTTGGCATTAAAACCCACAACAGCAGAAAGTTTCCAGCTTTTTAAGCATAATTATTTCTGGATGACTAAACTTCTGAGTGCTTTTTGTAGTCTCAGTTTTCTCCAGCATTGTAACATGCAATGCCACAGCCACATCTGTGCTCTTACAAGACTGTCTTCAAGGAACATAACTTGGGCATAGTGTCCTGTGTTTCATTCCTTCTTTTTTTTTTTCTTTTTACTTTTTCCTAGCTTGACTTTACATTTACTAAATAATGTTTTAAAGCTAACTGCATGGGGAAAAAAAAAAAAGGCATATACAGTAAGATCCCATCATTGTGCTGAATACACAGCAAGTCTCTAATTGGTTTTGTTGTATTACTGCTTGATCTAAAGCAAAAGCTGTCTTGCCTTCCTACATCATACAGGTGCAGTCTTCTGGAGAGGACAGAATACTTGTGATGGGAGCAACAAACAGGCCACAGGAGCTTGATGATGCTGTTCTCAGGTATCAAAATGTCTCTTCCTTTGTTTGAATACGGTAATATAGTATTCATTATGAAGAGCAGGTTTTGCTACTTAGTGTCTTGGTTGTTTTAAGTTTTGGAAGAAGTTGAAAAAGCTGTTTGGCAAAGTTAAATAACTTCTCAAAGAGGTGCCTGCCTCGCTTCTTTTGAGATACATCTGCCCAAGCATGGTGGCCTTGGAATTGTCTAAAACAGCAGTGCCTTCTGAGACCAAGTCAGCACTGTATAACCCTCTTGCTGCATCTTATCTATTGCTTTTTTATCATTTGGATCTTAATGGCAGGATGAAGGAAGAAATTTGACCAATGAAGTCCGTTATTTCTTCTTTGTGGATATTGGACGTCCTGTGTCCCATGCAGTTACAGATCTTGCTGTAGACTTGCCTTAGGATGTTTTTTCTGCAGGTTCTCATACTTGCTTCTCTCATCCTTCTTGATTGAGGAAAATAGGCATGTCAGCACTGTCTGAACAAATAAAACCTAGTCTTAGTGATTCCAAAGACTCTTTGTGTACACTGAAGAAATGCTTAATTTTGTTGCTGGTAGCCAGTGGTATTTCTACCTTTGGAGTGTTTGCTCCCTGGGAGGAGACTCATAACTTCAATAAGAGGAAGGTGACACCAGTAGCTCATGCATCTTGTTTGGGTTTTGATTTGGTTTCTTGGGGGAAGGGGGTGGGGATGTTCTTTTTTATTTTATCTGTAGTTCTACTCCCTCAAATTTGATCAAGTAGGTGAAATTTTGACATTTATCAAACCCAATGTTAGATCTGTATACTCTAAAAAGTTACAAAAGTGGGTGTGTGCATATATGTATATATGTTTGGGTTTTTTCTAGGCGATTCACCAAACGGGTATATGTGTCTTTACCAAATGAGGAAGTAAGTATTGGTTTCCATGAATTTTCTTTAAGATCAATCTTATTAAAAAAGAGAATAAAATATATTTCATAGACTATTCTTAATTTGCCCTAGTGGATGGTTACAATTCTGTGAGTTAACTTGTGGCCCAGCTTGGCTGTATACGCTGTGCTTTAATTCTGGAGACTATCTTAAGTCACTGCATTATTTTACACATTCTAGTAGCAAGTCTGGCAGTAGCTACTCCATGTTTCTTGTCTAGCGAGTTGCTTACATACTGGCAGGCATGGGCAAGTCTGAAGTAGGGCTTGCAGGAGCACGTTTTGGTTGGCTGGAGAAGAACATTTATTGCAAAAGATGAAAGTAGCTTGCTTTTATGTTTTTCAGCTCAACAACAGATTAGGGCTTTTGATGAGGATGCTAATGTATTATTCTTATTTAGTGCCTCTTTAGAAGTAGTTTGACCCCTGATCTGATTATTACCGAACTTCTCTCTCTTACCCTGAAGAAACGATAGTGTACAGTCTGATCACAAAAGCATGACAGGCGAGTTTAAACTAGTGAAGCACAAAAGCTGACCTGACAAACACGTAGTTTTGTGGTTGCAACAGAATTCTCAGTGTACTGTGAAAATGAGTTCTACATCTGATAAATGCGTCATATTTTCAGACAAGACTGATATTGCTAAAAAATCTTCTAAGCAAGCAAGGAAGTCCGTTGACCCAAAAAGAGCTGGCACAACTAGCTAGGTAAGTATGTTGTAACTATACTAAATAAATATACTTACCTACTGCATTCATTCAGATTGTTTCATTCATTCAAAATGTAACTAATGTAAATCATCAGGTAGTGACAGCGGTTGCTGAGAGAATGAGTTGCGTGCATTTTGGGAAGATGGTCTCCTCTCAGGCTGTCTGAAAGTGTTTTAATATGTCCTTATATATGTGTGCGTGTCTTGCCCTACACCACCTGGCTGGGTTTCTGTTGTTGAAAGATGCTGAACAGTGCTTTTCTTTCTGAGGAGGGAGGGGGATTCTTCTCTCCACCCATCCCCCAGGCAGTCCAGCTCTCTTGCCCGATGCAAAAAGGCAATGCCAGTTTTGCACTTGGAATACATTTCAAGTCAGAAGCAACTTTTCTTTGCTTGTCTATAGCTAGGTGTGTTGAAGGGGTTACCAACACAGCAGAGCAAGCACTGGATAATTTTAGATTCTTTACAGTTTCATACTTGATTGGGAAAATGTGGGTAGATACCCTTCCTGTTATGAAACTAAGTTATTTCATGTTTTTCGTCATTAAGGTTGACACAGTAATGAAAAATACAATGAAAAAAACCCAAATAAACGCCAGTAGATAGCACAGTTTATCTTACTTTCAGTTCACTTATAGAATACCTGCATATTTACACTATATTATTTCCCAAATCAGTGGGAAGTGTGTGCAAGACACACTTACAGAACCTGTTTCCTTCTGAATAAGGACCTGTCTACTGTATTTCACTTCCAATTATAATTATTGAATTCTGAATTATAACTCTTATTTGAAGCTAAATGTGTAAAGTGTTCAGGCTTCTGCAGATAACCACTGAGGCTGTGGCTCAGGCTGTTGCAGCCATCTCGGGTCCCTTGGTTGATTCTCGGTCGCTAGCAATTCCAGGTTTAGGCTGTAATGTTGGGATCGATTGGCGAGTCAGACTGAGCTGTGCCAGAGATCATTTTATGTCTGTAAACTATAGGAGGCTGTTTCGGTACTCTGCGAAAATGCAGGCAGAATTCTGAGAGCTGAGAAGCTTGCCAGGTGCTCTGAGGGTGCAGTCTCTGTGTTACCAAACCTTCAGCACTGGAGAAAGTCTTCCACCAGAAATAGTGCTGTCTGTACTGTTACTTGCTAAGCAGGGCGGTGCTGCCTTTCAGATCTGTATTTACTCTTCTGAATTAGTAGAATTTTGTACTCCCTCGAGTCTAGTGGTCAACTACTACCATGGCTTTCTGTGAAGGGCTTACTGTAAAGCTATCACTTATTTTCGAAACCAAACACTACTGTTAGATTTTTAGCAATGCCGGCTTTTGCCCTTTGTCTGTCTCTGTCAAGTAAAAGCACACATAATTTTATTCAGAAAACTGGTCTTGTGATCAAATCACAATAAATGTATGTGAATCTGGGTTCTCATTGTATTGATCAGGTTGAAAGAGTACAGCACAGTTGAATTTTTGGTTTTATATTCATCTGCAACAAATGATGACAAACTAGGGATAGGGCATTCTCATAACAGGAATAGTGAATGTGCTCGAGATTAGTTCTCATCTGCAAATCCAAGCTGGTTGCTCTTTTTGCTTTTCCTAGCATGTTATTTGGGACTTGAATATCTGTACTTTAATCTGGGAATGACTTAAATATAGATCGCTTATGTTGAATGCGCTTCTGATTTATGAAACTTTCAAAACAACATCAAAATAATACTGCTTCTGATTAAGTAACGCTTTAATCATCTGCAATTAAACTGATAGGGTTTAAAGTAAGCTTTGGGTTTTTTCCCTCCTCTTTTCCCCGACTTTTTCCTTTGACAAAGAATGACAGATGGATACTCTGGAAGTGATTTAACCGCATTAGCAAAGGATGCAGCACTGGGCCCTATTCGAGGTAAGCTGCATAGCTTTTTATTTAGGTTTTGAAAAAACTCTGTGCCCTTGATATTAGAGATGTTATATTTGCCTACATCTTTATAACTGTTAAACCTCTGAAATTAAGCTTTTTAGATTGGATTTTGGTCTGTTCCTCATAATAGCATCTCTATAAGATTTACCTTATGCTAAACCCTTCGGTAGCTCACCATGTGAAACAGACAATTTTTGCATCTTAAGAGAAAAGTAGGGTGAAGTATTTTCCACAGATTTGTGGATATTTTTTTTTTTTCCAACTAGTACATCTTTCCTAGGCTGGTGTCAGGTCTGTTGTGTCCAAATTATTATTTGAATAGCAATCACTGACTGCATTACTTGACTTAAGAAGTGGGCAGATCTCTTTCAAGTCTAAAGGAAGGAAATACCGAAACAAAGCACTTTTGTGTTTGGCTTTTTTGTTTTATATGGTTTGAATTGTGTAGCTTTTTTATTTTTAGATCTTCTTAATGTTGAATTGTGATCCAGATGACAACTGTGACTTAAGTAGATTTTACGTATACTTGTTCTTCCTTTGACAGGTCCAACTTTGAAAAATACCATTTTAATGCAAAATGAATATTTTTTTCCAGGGGAAAAAAAACTCCCAATCCTAACACCCCCCCCCACTTTGTTCTATTTCACTACCTAGTCATTAAGTGTCCAGTAGCTGTATCCGAAGGGGGTGATTTTGTTTAGTGGAGGCCAGTAGTGGGATTTTGTGAAGATGTGATGTTAGTTTTCCGTTTGCAGACACGCTGTCCTACCTGACAGAAAGGTACTAAAGGCAGCCAGAGCAGATGTGTTCTGCAGTATCAGCCTGTTGTGTGTAAATGAAAGTTGTTGCAACTCTCTTAAATGATTTATCGGGAGGAGAGGTCTGTGCATGTTTTGTGGGTGTGTTTATTAATTTTGAGTCAAAAATCCTATATAGCATGCAGTTTTGCCAGTGCACTATCTTTGAAAGCAGCTGCTGGAAAGTAATGGGGTTTTGCCCACCTACTTTCAGCTGTTGAGATTGTAAGGCACATCTTCCAAAATCCTACGTAATAACTGGGAAACAGTGCTGCATCGAATAGCTTCCACAAGAGACATCACATTTGCTAAGACTTCGAATATATTTATTCAGCGTGGTTGAATTAATAATGTGCGCATTTAGATATGCAGGCTTTGCTGACAAATCACTTCATGTGCAAGTCCATTTTGAGAAGAGACCATGAAATGTTGTGCAGCCTATTTCTTCCACCTGCTCCTGGATTCCATATAAAACAATTTGTTTTTTTAATGTCAGCCTTGCCGGTCCTGCCTAGATTCTTTTTCTTGCACCCTCGGAGCAAAAAGTTTGCTGTAATATGTTGATACTGTCAGAGTATTGCAAGTAAAAAAACCAAACAAACATGTAAAATGGGGAAGGATACGGGAACGGGTAGGTCCCACCAGTACTGCATAGCGCAGGAAGCGCTCCTGTGTGCCCTGCCTGATTTATTTCTGTATTTTTGGCTGACAGTACCTTTCTGTTTCCTGAAAATCGTGTGTGTTTGAGGGGTGGGGGGTTGTACATACTGGGCATAATGCGGGGGAGGGCAGCTCTGTTCCAGCTGAGTGCTGTTCCCCGTATATTGGGAAGAAGGATGTAGTTCTGCTACCGCCTTGTGCTGTCTCCGCAGTGCTTGAGTGTGGGAGCAGCCTGGCTGAGGAGCTGATAAATGGGGGAGAAGGAGGTAAAAACACTGTGTGACTTTCTATACAGGAGATTGTGTTGGGGCAGAGAGGTATAATTTTTAGCTGTGGGGGTTTTTTCAGAATAAAAGTGCTTTTAATGTGCTTTAGTTGTCAGAAGCAGTGAAATGTTTTCTTATGAAACTTGCTAATCTTCCTTTATTTTTACAGAATTAAAACCAGAACAGGTGAAGAACATGTCTGCCAGTGAGGTATGCTGTTCTAGCAGTTGTATTTTCCCCTTTGAATAGAATGCACGCTCACCAGAAACTTCTAAGGTGCCTTTATTTACACATAGTCTCATACAAAACACCTGGCATAACTTTTGGGGGCTATTACCCTTTTTGACTACTTCTTCATTGAAGAAAATTCTAGTACATTTTATCTAGTAAATAGTAATTGAGAAGAAAATCTGTCCTCAGGTGTGTGAGGTTCTTTGTGTAGTTTGTTGGTTATCAGGCTTAAGAACACCTCTTTTTCTGACAGTGGGTCTCTGCTGGTCTTAGTTTCAGCTGACTGTCCTGTCTCTTCCTTCGCACAGAACTGCAGCTTCATCTGTTGCCTATCAGATGATGTCAGAGGCCTGGCTTTCATTTTCTCGCAGTGTAACTCCCCCAAAACATTCCCAGAAGTATTATGTCAAATGATTTATTTTATTTCTGCCCTACCCCTCGAGCCCCCTGCATCTTTACATTAAAGCAAGTCATCTTAGGGAGAACCTCTAAAGGATTTTTAAAACAGATTTGTTTGTGCATACGTATAATACTCATTCACATGGACCATCATAAAGCAAAAAAACCCTCAATTAAGTTCCTCACTACACATTGCATCTGTAACCATCAAAAAAGAAAAGGAAGAGGTTGGTTGTGTATAAAAGTTTCTGTTCTAATATGCGTGCAAACCACAGGTACGTAGGGTAAAATGAAGCAAAACTTAATTCCCCTGTTGCTTTCTGTGTTCAGCCTGAGGTCGTGGCAAAGGCTATGATAAGCTGAAAGGTTTTGTTGCAGGAAGATGAGAACATCTGTGATGATTTGTTGTGAATGCAAGTTTACCTCCAATAGCCTATAAACACTAGTCCCAAAGAAACATGGGGAATCTTCTCCAGTTGTAATGCTAATATTCTTTTAATAATGAGACTGCTTGTTCCGCACACTTTGGTTATCTCCCATCCTGCCTGGGAATTTCTCCAGGTGGAAAATGCCTGCTTGTGACCACGTCCTCAGCAAGCCGCTGAAAGGCATGTGTTGAATCGGAGAGGTTAGGTAACGGGGATTACTGGGCTGACAGCACCCTGTGACCTGAATGCAGTTGTGGTAAGGGCGGGAACTTCAGTGCCTGACTGCTGGCATGCAGAGCTGTGCCATAAATGTGTTAAAAAGAATCCCGCGTCTTACTCTTTGCTCAGTTCTGTGCCCTCATACGCACCGGCTTGCACCACCAAGTGAGATAGGAAGTAGCAGCGGTCTCATGGGCTGTTGAATAACAGAGCAGACATTACCATTACCAAATGTTAGTTTATTAAAAGTGGTGAATACTGATAAATTACAAGACTCTTGCATCAGGTCACAGGATCGTAGAACAGCCCAGGTTGGAAGGGACCTTGGAAAGTCATCTGGTCCAACGTTTCATGGGAAAGGAAGCTTAGATGAGATGACCTAGCACCCTGCCCAGTCACATGCTGAAAATCTCCAGCGAGGGGGACTCTGCCACGTCCCCGGGCAGGTTGTTCCAGTGAGTGAAGGTTCTCACTGTAAAAAAACTTCTTTCTCTTATCAAGACAAAGCAGTTGTAGAGTATGCTTTGTTACAAGCGAATACTGAAGTACTTCTTGAATAAACTGGAGTACGTAAACCACTTATGATCCTGATGTCTTTCACTTTATGTTTAGATGAGAAATATCAAACTATCAGATTTCACCGAGTCTTTGAAGAAGATAAAGCGCAGTTTGAGCCCTCAGACCCTGGAAGCGTATATTCGCTGGAACAAGGACTTTGGAGATACCACAGTGTGAAACGCTACTTGAAGGGAAACAAAGTGCTGCCGAAGGAGCAATTGGGGCAGACTGCTGGAAAGCAGCCAGAGTTTACAGGACTTTACAGATCTTTAAGTATCTGCATTAAAACTTGAGATTAAGAAAAATTATACAATGTGAAATGTTGCTCATGAAAGCCTCCTTGCCATTTAGTGAGGATTTACACACTGTAAGTAAGAGCACAACAGGACTTGAGATAAGATTCCTAGCAATCTGATTATGGTTTGAACAGTAATGTTTGTATTTTGTTTCATCTACAAGGCTCTGATGATATTGATCATTGGAAAACCTTTTCCCTATGTCGTGTGTGTGTGGTTTTTTTGTTTTTAATTTTTGCCATGACATTGATGTCTGGCTTTCTTCCTTATAACTACTAACTTACAATGGGAGGTTTGTAAGCTTTGGTTCAGTTTTTGACTTTTTTTATCCTTAATGTGCCAAATAAAACAATTTCCCTATGCAGAGAGGAAGAACAGCATTTGGGAATTATGGTTATTAAAAAGTAAAAAGCAGCTGGTCTGTTATTATTTGTCTTTTGTTTAGTTGTAATGTGACTATATTGTTAACAGCACAGTTTTAAAGAAGACCTTTGATAGCAGAACAGCAAAAAAACCCCCAACCCTATAAAACCAATTCAAACTGTCTTTTTTTTTAAAAAAAATAAATTACTAAAAAAAAAGAAGTAGATTAAAACATTCATTTACTGGCAGTATTTTGTCTTAATGCATTTTGTCACGCTTCCATTGGTAGAATGTTAGCTTATGCTTATGGTGTGCAACTTGAAGCCTAGCTGCTGTTGGAGAGAGTAAGTGATGCTAATTGTCAAGTTTCAGAAATGGCATGTTTCTGCTCTGTATTTTGGTCTGTTTATGATAATTGAAAGTAAAATTTCCATTGTGATAATTTTTTTTAATCTACACATGTAAGCATTAAAATACAAGGCTACATGTTTAATACGTGGCACACGTTAATGTTTTTATAGCTTTCATATATTTTGGTTTATATATTAAAGTATGAAACACTCAACTGATCTGCTTTTTTGAAAAAGAAACTGTATCTTTGTATAAACACTTGTTTTTATTATATAAATGACAAGCTATTAAAAAAAAACCACTTAAGTGATAGCCTTTAAATACTGTAATAAAGGAAAATATCTTTTCTTTTCCTTCTAAAGGCCTGACATCTCGTTTACAAATTCTACATGGATTAAACACAGATGTTTGCAAGGCAGAATACTAGTTCTTGTTAGAGCAGGTTTGTGAGTTTGTTTTTGTTTTCCTTTTTTAAAAGACAACTCTCCCAACTTAGTGATATTACAAAAATGCGTATTGTTTACAGTTATTTAAACTAAACTGGGTTCTAAGCTTTGTTTGCTTTTGGTCTTAACAGAAAATTTTGTTCTTTAATTTTTCATTTAACTTATTTTTTATTGGTAGGAGTAAGTCAAATATTTCTGGGACTACTCACCTGAAAGTTGACTATAAATAATATATTATATATATATATGAAAAAAAAAAAACAGCTAGCTGATAGATATAGTATAAGTATAGTAATACCCAGAGAGGACTCTGTGCTTACTGCATAGTTTGGGTACTAAATAGCAGAAATTGTTAAACTTTGAAACACACAGATGCAATATGTTTTGGATTCTGTTTGTTTGAACCAGAAATGCTTTTAACTGATCTTAAGATTAAAAGCAATTAAATAAGAGAAGATTGTGATACACTAGTATGCCTTTTGAAACAGTCTAACCAAACCACCTCTAGCCTTCTAAGGGTTTGACTCCCTCAAATGGCTGCCTGATGTAAATGAAACAGGGGGCTTCTGTTCCCCTGATTTACTTTCCTGGAGAAGTGAGAAATGCTGAAAGATTTCAGTTTCTTAAATCTCATGTCTGGCTTGCTTTGCCTTAGTTCTGCCTTCAGCAGACCATCTCTCTGTTGTTGGAGGTTCCTGGCTGACTTTGTCATAGGCTTCATAGTGCGACACCTGAATATTACTGTTTCGTTAGCATCTGCCAGATAGCTGAAAAGCCCTTGGTCTTCAAAAAGTTTGTAAACTTTCCTTGAGATTCTTCGCAAATGAGAACTTTGAGGGTAACACTTCTGGTTTTGAGTGTTCCTAAATATTAGTTATCAAACTCTGCTTTCCTCCACTTAATTTTGAGGAATATACTGGTATTTATTTCAAATGCATATCTGTTGGCATGTGATAGGTACCTGCAATAGAGAGGCAGAAGTTCCCATCTGCTCAAACATTGCCAGTCTGCAGCACGAAGGGGCAGAAGTCTGAGCTGCTGCTGTAGGAAGAGAAGGGACGAGCCCCTTCGCTTCTTCGTACGACCAGTTCAGGGCAAGAGGATCTGTGACTGGTACCACTGCTTTTCAGTTATCTGTTCTGCCCTAATTGTGTTCTGCAGAATGGATGAACTGCGACTCTATCAATTACTTCTAGAACACAGTGATAAGAACTTAATGTTGTTCTACAGCATCAGTTTGCCCCACAGCTGCTGGATTTTTAGCCCATGACCAAGTGCCATTTGGTTCGTAAATCTCCTTTAAATGTTTCTTTTTTTTACTGTATTTTCTGAGTAGTGTCTTTTAAGAATAACTCTGTTCCCCTTAAGGCATTATCTTGCGTCTTCTGGTTTCTTGTTTTACATGTACTGATTAAGTCCCAGCTCAGTGATTTTCATCTGTCTGTTGGATTAACCGTGTATAATAGCAGATCTGTTAAAAAAAAAGAAAAAAAACATACACCAGCTCAACACCCCCTAAAACCCCCAGATACCTGTATTTCCCAAATCTATGATATTCTATATAGAACTTTGCATCTGTCTTTACCATAAAATCAGATTATATTGTAATACAGTATCTTGAATTAGGATAGGATAATCAGGACAGCAGCTTGGATGCTTTTAACCTTTGCAAAGATTGGCATCACATTAGCTCTCTGACCCTCCTTTTTTTTTTTTTTTTTTTTTTCCTGAATCTGCCCACTGCTAATGAGTGAGTGACTTGACCCACTTTTTTGAGATGAATAGGAAGCAGCTTGCCTGGCCCACCACAAGTGTGTTTTACTGACCTAAAGTGTGGCAGTTACTGGAAGGAAGAAAAAAAACGAAAACACAAACCACCAAGCCCCTTGGTTTTTTAACAACCTTCTTCATACATCTTCGCTTCTTTTTATTAAGCAGGAAATGCACCTTTGTCTTTCTACGTGTTGGAAGAACAATGCCTTCTCAGGCTGTGGGCTGGTGCTTTTGGTAGCATAACAGGAGGGAAAAACTCAACCACTGTGTGATGCTCTTTCTCCTTAAAATGACAATTCGTTATGAGGTGCCCTTTACTAATGCTGACTTTTCTGTAGAGTGTACCAACCCTATACAGGTTCTCTCATTGCAGCTAAGACAAAACCAACACTGAATATTAAAGATAAGCCTTAAAGTAGGGTATTTATGCATATAGAAGTCTCTCTGCCATGTTAGTTTCTTGGACTTTACAGAGTTCAGTATATTAGAAATAGGCGTTCTGCGCTGAGATGTCTTACTGACTCTACTTCAGAAAGTCAGTCGCTAACACAGTTTTGTTGAATAGGGCCCTGCAACTTTCTTTATGTAGATAGTAAGTGTGATAGTAACACTTTAAAGTGGAGAACAATGGGATCTCTAAACTGAGAAGGAATTTGTTGTCACTGCACTAATTACAGGCCATTGCTGATCTCACTGTTAAGATTCTCCCAAATGTTTCTAAAATGACGGGTTTTATACATGTAACTTACTTAGACAATTAACCTTATCTTCTGGTGTAGAATAAATAGTATTTTTTCTATTCTAAACAAACAGTTTTTAGCACTGTTGCCAAGTCCATCTTGTGAAATTTAAGTACTTTGCACTGGCAATACTGAAGTTGGATATGCTGGCAAATTTGATCACCCTGTCTGTTCTGCAGCCGGTATGGAAAGCGACGTTCTACGCAGGGCTTCCCTAACCACCCGCGGGGAACCTTTGTGCCCTAGACTCTTCCAGTGCTTTCCTACCGACAGCGTGGGTAACGCGCGGTTGTGCCTAAGACGCGCTCGCTGAGCTGCTCCTGTGCTGTAGGGATGCTTCTACCCGTGGCAGCTTTGGGAGGCGGCAAGCACCATGGGAGGGTACAGATCTCCATGCGCTGTCTGTGGTGGTCTCAGGCTTTCCTGATGCTTTTAGTTGTTTGGGACTTCTATCCGGTATCAAAAATGGAATGAGAAGTAGCAGGCAGGTAGTGAATGCAATTAGTTATCTCAGTCACTGTGCTAATTAGAGGCAGTTGCTGATGTCATTGTTCAGTTCTCTTGAGCTGCTCTTTAGTGTTGAAGGATGTTGTTTTACTCACCTACATGAATTTCCATGCTGAGGACGATCTGCTGGTCATCCTAAGAGATGAACTATGGATCAGTTGTTTTCTTTTAGAGTTTTTTCTTTAGATACTCTTTTCCACACTTGTTCTTTTAGATATTGTAAGTGTAATTCCACAGGATGAGGAGGTTAAACTGTTGCTTCCTGCAAGTACAAAATCATCTTCTGAAGTACAGGGAAATGTCTGTTACGTTTTTCCTGCTTCTCATGTATATCGTTAACTGTCTTGGAGTGGAAACTGTTTATTTTGTCAATGACTACCTCCTGAGTTCGGCAATAATTGGCAAGGTGTACACTCCTACAGTGGATGAAATACATTGGCTAAACACTGTGGGTTCTTCAGAGTTTGATTTCTTGACTTGCAAATTCGTGCCATGATGTCTGGAAACTACCGCGATCAACCTTGTTTTGCTGTGAGGCTTTCCGTGCCTTCGTTAGACACACTGCTTAAAATCCGGTTGCAGAGCAGTGGCTTTGAGGGAAAAAGGTCAACGTTCTTTGTCGTTGGTTAACATAGGTGTAGTCTTCTAAGGTGCTGGGGTGTAGCTTCTCGGTTCCGCGGGTTTTCTCACCATTAGAAGTGAGGAAGAAAGTACTTTCTCTAATACTCGCACACCTATCAAAGGGACTGGAAATACAGAAATGTTTTTTGCCACATGATTCAAATTTTTATTCATGTGCAGGGCTAGTCAGTATTTTTCAGAAATATAGATTAAAGTGACAAAAACCAAAGGTGGAGGCAAAACACTATACCCCACCCCCATTAAATACATTGGATGATTCCAGTCTCAGATGGCGTTAATTCTTGTATTTGGTTGTTTTGAAGCACTTTTGTTTCATTGTTCTTTTAAGAATGTTTTCTGACATGTTAAACACCATTTTATTAATAAGCAATGTAAAAAAGCATGACGAGCAGTCGCATATCTTTAGCTTCACAATAAAATGTTGTGTTTGTCCTGTTCTTACTGTTTTCTTGTCTGTTTATCAGATATGTCCAAAACAAAGAGCCTTTTCAGTAAACCTGAAGCCTATTACATTGCTGGTGGTTTAAAAAAAAAAATCAAAATAAAAATCAGGTGTTGTATACCAGGTGATGGAACAACAAATATGTAAATACCTCAGTTTCTAAAGGACGTAACTCAAGTTCTTAGAACTAATGTAAATAGAAGCGCTACCTCCTAAATAAATGTGCTGAAATTGAAAGTGTGTGCTTATCCTAGTCTTGCTAAATCACAGTGCAAACCAGGAGGTTTCACACAACTAATTCTGGTAGTCATCATGAAGTCCTAAAAATAGCTACTTGGAGCCAATTTACTTGGGATCAACAGGGCATCTTTTCTTTTGCTAGGGGGAGAGTGCTGCTGTTATTTCTGAGGTAACAAATCTAAATTCTTTGCATATGCCCATCCCCTTACTGTTTGTAATTGTTTCTAGCCATTGCCTTGAGGCTGTACCTGGACCACTAACAACTGCTGAGGCTTTCTGTTCTTGCAGTTAGATCCGGAAGATAAGACTGAAAAATCCCTACTTGGATTAGAGTAACTTTGCTATTCCATAGCCGGCAGCGTTAGGGGTCTCTCGAAAAGCAGCCCTGATCACTGCCTTCACCACATCACTGTAACACTCGCTGTTAAAGTAAGCAAACCAAGTGAAAATCAACACAGCAATCGGGTGAAAAAACCCCGTGATTTGTACTGAAGCATCAGAGCTGTCACGGCTTCTGCCAGGCGTTCATTCCTCGGGAGCCAGAAAGGCACCGTCGCTGTCTATGCGAGATCATAATCCAGCGTCTCTCTTTGGCTGAAATGCTGCTGCTCGGAGGTGGATCTGAACCACTGAAATGACTTCAATTAGCAATTTTGTGTATAGGTTACAGATATTCAAATAGACTTTTATTCTTGTAGAGGAGATGCTCAGATAAATTTAGCGAAGAAGCAAGAGCCTGAAAACCATATCCCAGCACTTGCTATGTTGAAATCTACAGACATCATGGACTTGACCGCGTACCTTGACTGAAGTATCCTAGACTCATTAAAAGAGAAATCTTTTCCCATTCCAGCCAAGGTGGCGTGAGACAAGGCTCCATGCATAGTGTCAGATGCAGGCATATTTCAGATGAAAATGTGTTTATTTCAGTTTTTTAATGTTTTAAGTTTGCCAGAGAAAAGTGAGAAAAATCAGCTTAAAATTGTGGTGGTTTTTTTTCACTCAGGGCCTCTTTCTGCAAATTTCCAAATACACTGTGAACTTGTGAAATCCAGCCTCTTTCCTCCAAGGGTGCATATGGCTCCACAACAGACAAAGAGTTATGCAACTTTCTCTAAGTCTTTTTTTTATTCTGTGTGTAATGATAATACAGAAAATACTATGTAGTGGTGAGGGCAGAAAGATACAATTTAAAATCCATCTCTCAACACATGCGAGTGATTTGCTGTGGTATAGCTACAAACAAAGAAAACAGGTGGGAATTCCAGAAGCCTACAACCAACTTAATGAGCAAAGTGTGGTGTCTTTACCAAATGCTTTTAAAATTCCACTTTTTTTGCAAATATATAGTGTAAGCACAGTATGTTCTTTTCTAATACTGTAACTTCTGTTACTTTCAAATCTCACCTTAGTGATTTCAAAAAGCTTCAAACTTCCCTCAGTTTTAAAACATCCTTGAAGACTGTTAGTTTTGTTGTGTGCAGACTGCTAGAATCACCTGTGCCATTAATCCTAGTATTTATCTTCCGTGAATCATGGAAGTGCAGTTTCTTACAACTGACTGTTTGCCTCTTCTGGGAGGAAGTACCCCAAGGCGTGAGATAATCAAAAAGCCTGATAATGTGTCAATAATGAAGTAACAAAACACCTTTGTATTTGTGGAGCACATCATACAGATAACATTACTCCCATGGTTCACCTGGCTTGCAGTTTCCTGTTTAAATTTGAGTGGAGGCAGCAGCTGAAGTTTGAAATCTCTTACCTGTCATGGAGATTTCACAGAGTGCAAATGGATTATCTTTTTTTTTTTAATTGTTCCCAAAACTAATTCTGTACATTGGAAAGAATTTCTTCATTACAGCCAACAGTTTAGACTGAGGTCTGAGGCCTTAAATACTTGTCTCATGGAATACAATTGCCTGGCCAGTCTGATAGTTGTTCTTAATTAATAATACTGTGTCCTATAAGGACCAGATACACTCAATCTGGAAAACAAAACCGATTTTTTTTCTGTCAGTACTGAAAGGGCGTGCTCTGCACACGCACAGGAACTGGAGACATTACCCAGCTAAAACTTACCCACAGTGGCTGGGAAGCAGATTAATTTAAAGATGGGGGCTTGTTCCTGCTTTCAGTTGATGCCCAGGCCTCTGTCCCAGCCCCAGCCAGGTGAGGCTTTGGTATGTTTCGCAGAACAGATTCGATGCAAATAACATTTTTAACCGCTTTAACTATGGGCACTGGACAGCGGACTAGACCATTGGAAGACCAAAGACAGGTCAGCGTTACAGAAGGTTGCTTGAAGTATCTTCCTAGGCACGATAATCTGTCTTAATAAAATATCTGGCTTCAATTTTTATTCCTACATGTTTTCCACTTCCCAAACGCAGTAATAAATAAGCAATTTTGTGACTAAATCTCTCTGTGCATTAAATCCCATGCAGGTGTTCCGTAACGCAATTTCCCTTAACAGAGCTGCCCTCGCTTCCAGGAAGCCGTCAGCTCTGCGTTTCGTTCCTCGCGAGCGCTGGTTCCGTGTCAGGTGCCCTCTCCGGCCACGCTCCTGCCGACAGAACGCCCCGGGCGACAGAAACCCCGCTCCGAGCCACGCGGGCCT